AAGGGAATTTTGGGATAATTAAGGGGATTTTGGGATAATTAAGAGAATTCTGGGATAATTAAAGGAAATTTGGGGTAATTAAAGAGGATTTTGGGATAATTAAAGAGGATTTTGGGGTAATTAAAGGGAATTTTGGGATAATTAAGGGGATTTTTGGGATAATTAAGGGAATTTTGGGATAATTAACGAGGATTTTGGGATAATTAAGGGGATTTTGGGATCATTAAGGGGATTTTTGGGATAATTAAGGGAATTTTGGGATAATTAACGAGGATTTTGGGATAATGAAGAGGATTTTGGGGTAATTAAGGGGATTTTGGGATAATGAAGAGGATTTTGGGGTAAAAAGTGTGAATTTTGGGTCTGACCTCCCCGGCCGCGGCCCCGGCCGCCCCCGCCCCGGGTGAAATCGGCTCGGCGCGTGGCGAACGAAACCTTGATGGGATTGCCCGAGAATTCCTTCCCTGGAGACGAGAAAAACCGGGAATGGCGGGAAAATACCAGAGAGAATGGCGGGAAAACCCCAGGGAAAATGGCGGGAAAACCCCCGGGAACGGCGGGAAAACCCCCGGGAACGGCGGGAAAACCCCAGGGAAAATGGCGGGAAAATCCCCGGAGAGAATGGCGGGAAAACCCCCGGGAATGGCGGGAAAATCCCCGGGAATGGCGGGAAAAGCCCAGGGAAAATGGCGGGAAAAGCCCAGGGAAAATGGCAGGAAAACCCCCGGGAAATTGGCGGGAAAATGGCGGGAAACCCCAGGGAAAACGGCGGGAAAAGGGGAAGAGGGAATTCCGGGATTTGGGAATTCCCGAATTTGGGGATTTTGGGATTTCACGAATTTGGGATTTCAGGAAGTCCGGAATTCCGGGATTTCGGGAATTCCGGGATTTGGGAATTCCGGGATTTTGGGAATTCCAGGATTTTGGGAATTCCGGGATTTCAGGGATTTGGGATTTCGGGAATCGCGGTCACTGACCATCGAAGCAGTCGATGGCCGCCTTGGCTGAGGGGGAACTGGAGAATCGGGAATTCAGGATTTCAGGGATTTTGGGATTTTGGGAATTCCGGAATTTGGGATTTCGGAAATTCGGGATTTCAGGGATTTCAGGGATTTCGGGAATCGCGGTCACTGACCGTCGAACCAGTCGATGGCCGCCTTGGCCGAGGGGGGG